TAAAGAAATTTTTGAATGTTAGAATCATTTAAATCCGAACAATTTTTGAAAGTATTTTTATTTTTTTACTAGCTATGATGTCGAAATATTTTTGAGAAAAATTTTTTAATGATTCTTTGTCTGAAAATAAAAGCTTTCAAAATAACCATAAAATTATTATTATTACTATATAATTTTTTGTGATAGATAATAGACAGATATATATATCTGTACTTATAATTATATGCACAAAAATATTTTTATTTTACTAATTAAAAGAGAAATATCTCTTTTCATTATCTTTTGAATAAGCAAGTACAATAAAATTTATTTCTACCATTTCACAAATGCTTTTACAGGTAACAAACAGTGAAATTAATATCGAAATAAAAAGTATAAACAAGAAACAATATTATTTATGAAAGCACTTGAATGTTTATAATATTTTGTTAAATAATTCAATATAAAAAATATCTTTTATAGCATTAATGCCTATCAAAGGCAATATAGCCATTTGTAACAACGTTTTTAAGTTAAGGTCACAATGGAATGTAAAATTTTTTTAACAATAAAAATCGCTTATATATAATATATATATATATGACTTAAATATCGATAATTTTGACGAAAGTCAAATGCTTTTTTAATTTTATATATCAGTTTATATGATATTGCTAGTTTTGACTAGTATTGACTAGTTTATATATAAATGAAATATAAAACAATTAAAAACTAAACAAAAAGAAATTATAATTCACCTTGAAATAACTTCTGGGCTCATCCAATATGGCGTTCCAACGAGAGATTTTCGCCTGGGTAATTCTTGAGATACTTGAGCACAAAATCCAAAATCAGATAACTTGACCCTACCGTCAGCCGTTAATAGTATAGAATCGGACTTAATATCTCTATGAATAACACCTTGAGAATGCAAATATGCAAGAGGCTTCAAACATTGAGAACATACTGTGGCAATCTGATTTTCGTCCATGCGAGAATGAGTCACAATATCCGTAAGCGCTCCTCCTTCAAGATATTCCATCACGACCCATAATTCGTCATCTACTAAAAAACTATCATACATTTCAACAATGTTTGGGTGATGATAATCTCTCATGATAACTACTTCATTAAAAAGTAATTCACGTCTTTGCTGCTTTCTTAAATCCATTTTTTTCACTGCTACTTGTCGATTTGTATTTTTCTCAGTTGCTATACATACTGTTCCAGTACTTCCTTCACCGATTTTAAGAAAATTTTCTAAATTTTCTCTTGGATCGCCTCGACTTACCTGTGGTAAATTTTTAAATGAATAAAGTCGAATAATAATTTGAAATATCTTTTTCTTATATATTTTTATAGAATTCATTTATATTATTATTATTTTTATTATCTAATATTATCATAATCATAATTTATTTTTTCTTACCACCATCTGTAAAGCTGCTCGAAATTGTTCATGAGTAAGTCTTTGTTCTGCTGTTTGTTTATTTGTTGTATTCGAACTTGAACTGACTGCCAGATTTCCCGAAGACAAAGCACTCTTCATATTTTGATTTTGATCAGGTATCGAATTGTTTCCAGAAGATGGTAAATTGGATTTTGATAAATTATGCATTGATTGAGATGTTTCAATAGATTTTTTTATATGAGATTGCAAAATAGAAGAATTTTCAGATGTATTATATGCTTGTGAATATTTATTAACATTATGTGTACTTAATTGGCTTAATGGCCGTTGAGAAGCAATAGAACCTACTGGTGAGATTTTAGGTTGTAATTTATGCAGAAGAGTATTTTGAGTTATTTGTTGATCCTTTGAAGAAGTATCAATATTTGAAGCCTATGTATAAGAAATAATACATATTTTTAAAGATAAATAAAATATATAATATTTAAGTATTACCTGAAATATAATATTTATTATTTACCTGAACATTTCCATTATATTGACCAGATGTTAAAGATATTTGAGTATTTATCCTATGAAATTCAGAATCTATAAGTTGAGGAGTGCTAGGACTTTGTATAGAACATTGTGGAGTATTAATAGGACTTAAATTTTGAAAATTTAAAGACAAATTCGGTGCATTTGAACCAACATGTGTTAAATTAGGAGATGATTGCATATTTGGATTAAGGTTTTGAAGATTTGGAATCATGTTTTGTGTATTGGAATGTAATCCACTTGTAACATTAGATGCATTTTGTCTCAATTTATCAAGATAATTGTGTTGTTTTCCAAAATTAGTAGTATAACCCTGAATTTGATTAGTATTTGATGACATTTCTTGACCTTCTGGCACAGAGGGTGGTAAATTATTATTATGCCTAAAATATAAATATAATAAAATACTTAATATTAAAATAGTAATAAATACAAAATAAATACAAAATAGTAATAAATATAAAAAAGATTACCTATAATCTCTTCTAAGTTTTGGTGGACTTGAAGAACGAAGAGAATTAGATCTAGCAACTGTACTAGTTTTGGGTAATCCATTTTCAGTGTTTTTCTCACCACTGAAAGTTCTTCCTTTTGGATCATTATGGCCTCGAACAATAGTTTTTAAATCTAGAATTTCTGTAGGTGTAATTTCACTTGGATCTACTAAAGGTAATGGTCTATTTGTAGATTTTAAAATTTGATTGTTTCCAACAATAGAAGCCCATTGTAATGGAAGTCCAACGAATTTTCCTTCACGTTTATCAAATCCAGTATGTACTCGATGTTCAAAATTTGTTGGAGTAGATATCTGTGGTTTCTTTTTCTTTTTAGCAAACATTTCCTGTCCTATAATAATTGTGTTAATATTAAAAAATATAATTAAAATTATATAATATATTCTCTATGTTTGTAATATATAGTATAATATAATATTTAGAAAATGTATTTAATTATATAAATTATATAAATTATATAAACTAAAAATTATTTTGAAAAGCAATAGATTTAAAACTGTCAATTGAGTAAATTATTCTCAAAGAATAATTTTTACATATGCATAGTAACATGATAATTTTCTAAAATTAATATACAGAGAAAAAGAAAAATAATGTATTAAATTATATGACTTATTCAATATTTAGAGGAAATAATAAAATCAAAGAGAAGCCAAATGACAGCAACGCCTACTAGTGCGTGATATGATTACCTTAAAGTAATTTTTTTGAGTTGTTGGTTAGATTTTTTAAGAATAATTATTTTCTATTAACGTTATACCGCTTTGAAAAAATACTAAATTTTAAATAGTATAGAAACATAAAAAAATTAATTAATTAAAATAGGTAAATACGGCATTTAGCCCTTCGACAGGTCGTTTACACACCGGCGCTCCGCGCGGAGAGCTTATGAATCTTTCTTGGCATTTGACTCGTGACAATTTACTCAAATGTGCATGAGGTAACACCTGTAATGAAATTATTATAAAAAACAAAATGAATATAAAATTGTGTCGAGAGAAAGCAATTGCAATTGCAATGATTAAAAAAAGAAGAATACATCAATTTATAATTATAATCATTTATAATCATTTTAGTTTACTAAAATGCTAATAAGTATAAATGCTAACTAACATATTATATATGTTATATGAAATATAACATGTATAAATGCTAACTAACATATTATATATGTTATATGAAATATAACATATAACAATATTTGTTTTTTTGATATTCGATAGAATGAAAATTTGAAATTATAATATGATGAATTCGATAGAATGAAAATTTGAAATTATTAATATATTATATTTTATTATTAAAATATTCATAAAATTTGATTTTAAATAAATAAAAAAATAAAAAAACAAAAAATAAATACATGTATTTAAATTCCAAGATAAAAAATTCCTAAAAAATTTATATTTTTTTATAAATAATTTGATAAAAATATTAAATTTAATATATTCTTATATATCTCCTTTAAATAATATAATCTAAATCTATATAAAAGGAAAATTATAAACATATACATATTTTGACATTATATATAATAAATAATAAAAATAGTAGAATTAATATATTTAAAATAAATATAAAACAAATACATGCATTTTACTATATTCGTAATCTTGAATAAAAAGAGAAATATGTTTGAATTATAAAAAAACAATTTTACATACGTACATATATATATATATATATTTGCATGCACATACACGCACGAATAAAAGAATGTATAAAAAGATGCGATCACGCATGAAAATGTTTGGTTCTTCTTCGTATCAAATCGTTTAAAATAGAAAGAAAGCCTTTATGCGATCTGCATGATCGATCGCCCGAATCTATCGGAGTTATTAAAAATGTACGAGAGAAAAAAGAAATATACATTGTTTCTCTCTTCTTTTTGAAAGTTTAATTGAACAAATGTTTCATCGTTGTTGTTTCCACTAAGTTACTTTTACTTACAAATAAAAAAGTAGTTAACAAGCAATAATATTACAAACAAATTTCGTTTCTCACGATACAAGATAGGATGAAGTATTAAACATTTTCTTATATTTTTTTATATTACAATGTTATACCATGAGTATTTAACATTGTCCCCTAATGTTTTTATCGTTGTCCATATATAAAAAAAAGTAGTAATTGTCTGAGTGTGTAGAGAAATTTGAACATAATGGATACATCAGAATCAAAGAAATATTCAAAAGGTGTATTTTTTAATTAGTTAATATTTTTCAAATAATAATTTTTTATAATAATAATTTATAGATTACGAATGGGCCGTAAGATTAAATCGATTTAGTTTAAATGTAATTTGTCTTTGGCCTGTAGAAGAACAAAATATAAGAAAACAATCTTGGACGAAATTACATGTAACGACATGTTTCATGCTAATAACTTTTGTTTGTACGATTCCTTGTTTATGTGCTCTTAAACAATGCAATAATTTAATGGAAGTGACGGATAATCTTGCATATTCTATTCCTTTGATAATAACTACAATAAAATTTATTGTGATATCCAGCAAGAAGAAAGGTAAGCTGAAAGGAAAACAGAAAGCATCAATAAATAAAAAAAAGTATATATACATGAGATATGCATCACTTTTTTTTTCAAGTTCTCTCGCTGATTGTAAACATGATCGCAAAAGATTGGGCAAAATTAAAAACTGATTATGAAAAAGATATAATGATACGCCGAGCAAGAATTGCAAGAATAATTAACATATTCGGTTATATATTAATATGTATCTTGATATGGTTATTGATGATTCTACCAAGATTCGGTATTACTATTCGATATGTAACGAATGAAACGGATGCAAAAAAACTTTTTCCGTTACCAACTTATTATATTTTTGATGTATCTGAAACTCCATATTTCGAAATAATATATGTTCTTCAATCTATCAGTCTTTTAATAGCGGCATTTTGTTATGCTGGAGTTGATAATTTTTTTGGAATATTGATCCTTCATATTTGTGGCCAATTAACAAATCTTCGATTTCAGCTCGCAAATATGAAAGAATCAGAAGCTTCTAATTTCATTCTAATAGCTATTGTAAAAGATCACATACGACTCATCAGGTATTTTATTTTACATTGTATTATATAAATTTGTACTATTTCTCTTTTTTTTCTTTCTATTTTAGCAATTTATATATTATTATATTATTATATATCTATTATGAAATGTACGCAATAAAAAATTATTTTAATTTTCAAAAATATTTCATAGAGCAGCAAATGTGATCGAAAATACATCAACAGTTTTATTTCTCATTTTGTTACTTAATTTTGGAATGTGTGCTTGTGTATATGGTTTGTTAATAATCACTGTAAGTAATTTAACCTTATAGAATTATTAAAGATGTTTATAGAACAGAATTGTAAATCTGATAATTACAATCTTTAAATATTTTTTTAAATATCTTAAGATATACATTGAAGAAGAACAATTTTCTCTGCTTCGAATAATATATTTAATATGTAATTTTACAAATACATTTCTTCAAACGTTTCTCTATTTTATGGCAGGACAAATGTTAGTAACTCAAGTAAGTAAAAATTTTTTTTTTCTTTTTCCATGTTGTTACATTATTTGTATTTACTTAAAATTTTCTTGTAATTATATAGTCCGAGGAAGTGCATAATGCTGCATATGAATGTGAGTGGGTAAGTTTAAAATACACGAAAGCAAAAAGTTTGATTATAATTATGGCGAGATCAAAGAAGCCGCTTTATTTAACTGCAGGAAAATTATTTCCTGTAACGATGTTAACATTTTGTAATGTAAGATATATTCTTTTCATATATTTTTACTTATCTTTTTTTTTCATTGTCTTTATTTCTTATAATGTTATTTCAGATATTAAAAATTTCGCTCAGCTATATATCCTTCTTATTAACAATATTATAAGATATTGCAATTTATAAAAATTTATGAATTAATTTAATTAATTTTATATGTATATATATATCACGTATATATTTAAGAGATATTTAAATGATATTTAAGAAATATTTAAGAGATATTTAAATGATGCCCTATATAAAAGATTAAAATACAGTTTAAAAAAAAAAAACAAATATAACGACGTATTTTTTAATCATAAATATTATAATGGAAATAAATAAAATAACATCATATATTTTAAATACATTATTTTTGCTTAATTATTTTTATTAGATAAGTATAATAAATGAATTCTTTTATTTATTTCAATAGATAACAATAGAAATTTTGGTATAAAATCATATACATTATAATACATATATATCATATTTATTTATAGAATTTTTTCTCTAGAGAAAATATCAAAATATAAATTGTTAAAACAAATAATTTTTTTTAAATTATAATATTTATAATAAATAAATCCAAATAAATAATTCAAAATAATTGTATCTTAATGAAATATTTGAAATTTATCTATTAAAATTGATTTGTTTATTTTTTAATTTTGAATAATATATAATAAATATAATAAACTATCGAAAGAGATGTATCCTATAATATATTGTTATCGAGTATAATCATTTAACTAGCAGTTCCGTGTAGATAGTAACACAATATGGTCAAGCATGAATTTACCTATATATATCATATGTATATATGTACATATATACATATAACCGTATAATAGAGACATAGTATTTATGTAACGTATGTTTGCATGTGTGTGGAACGCGCAGTTTCATGATATAAAAGTAAATTAATCGATTCAATAAATTTTATCAAAATAATATTATTATATTATCTATAATATTAGAATGTGTGTATAATCTTAAAGAATAAAAGAAATTTTGAATGTTAATAACAAAAAGAATAAGAATTAGTAGATTTTGATTTATATGTCTGTTTTAGGTGAAATGTGTAATTTCCGTTGTAAGTATAGAAATAAAAAAATCATCGTTTTCAATTTAATCATAATAATTAACAAAACAATTAAATTATCATATGACATACAATTTTTATGAATAAAATGATTCTATACGTCAAAATTATCGGATTGATCAAATTGTATGTCGTACTTTTAGGTTAAATGATTCTATACAGTACAATATAATTGACTATGTTCAATCTTGTAAAACATGATTTTTTTGCTTTTTGTATTATAATCAGATTGTTTATACATAATATAAATAAATAAATTAATTTCACTTCTAGAATAAATCATAGCAAATGGAAGATTTTAAAGTGAAAGATGAACCAATGGATGCGTTAAACATAGACAGTCAGGTTATGGTAAACGTTTTCTATGAAACAGCAGCACCATACAATACAATGCTTCCACAAGGACTCTAACTTAAACCTTACTTTAAGGACGAAAACATTGTAAGCGTTGTACTTAAGGAAGAACCCGGCGATAGATTTGATCCAGACTACATGGAGGACATCTGTTCTGGGACATTCGAGAAGGTATTTTTACCTATCGAAAATAATGAAGTTGACTTCTCTAATGAAATGGTAAATTTTATATAAAATTATTAACGATTAAGTTTTGTTTATAAAAAAATCAATTTATTAACAAAACATTTTAGGTAAAACTCGAATTAGATGGGGAATCCAGTAGTCATCAAAATTGGACAGCACAAATTGCAAATACAAATTTGTGTGATAAAGAAGATGGTGCTATGCAAAGGTGCTTAACAAATGCAAATTTTGCTCAAGTACATGATGTAGAAAAACATTCTGGATTTTGTCCAAATGGACAGCAACCAAAATTTTATAAAATACAATGTTCAATTTGCAAAAAATGGTTTTTAAACAATGATTCTATGGTTACTCACCTGAGAATGCATTGTAGTGGAAATCAGTGTGAGGTTTGTCAACAAAATTTTCAGGATAATTCCAGTTTACATGCTCATATGCTGACTCATGTTGGGATGAGTCCATTGGAATGCAATATCTGTCAGAAACGATTTGCTTACAAATGGTGTTTACGTAGTCATATGCAAATGCATGTATTAGAAAAACCATATGACAATGATGCATTGCAACACGCATTTATAAAAAGACCTGATTCTGAGCATGACCAATCTATGAGTACAGAAGAAAGAGTATTTGAATGTGATGTTTGTCATGCGACATTTAAAGAAAAATCTAGTCTGAATCGGCATGTGATTACTCATACAGAGGAAAGACCATATAAATGCGATGTATGTTTTGCAGCATTTAGGGAAAAAGCAAAATTAAATATGCATATGGTGTTACATGGAAACAAACAATTTAAGTGTACAATGTGTCATAGATCATTTACACAAAAAACAGCATTGAACAATCATATGTTAGCACATAGTGGTGAGAAACCACATGCATGTAATATTTGTGAAAAAACATATAAACGAAAATCAGAATTAATAAGACATACTATGGTTCATACTGGTGAAAGACCATATGAATGTAAAGAATGCCTAATGACTTTTCGAGAAAAAGCAAAATTAAATTCTCATATGCTTGTGCACACAGGTGAAAAACCACATGAGTGTCATATATGTCATAAGGCATGTGCCCGCAAATCCGATCTTAATAGTCATATGCTATTACATACAGGGGGCCAATATGATTGCAAAGTTTGCGATAAAATATTTACTCGTAAGTCGGATTTGAATCGACATACTTTGATACATACAGGCGAAAAGCCATTTGCTTGTGAATTATGCGACATGGCCTTCAGAGAAAAAACTAGATTAAATTCTCATATGCTTATACATACTGGCGATAAACGACATGCCTGTCACATTTGTCAAAAAACATTCAAAGAGAAGTCTTCATTGCGAAAACATATGTTAAGTCATACTGGTGATAGACCATATGAATGCTATGTATGCCATAAAGCATTTACTCAAAAAACAACATTAAATAGTCATATATTAGTACATGCAGGAGAACGACCATACGAGTGTAGTGCATGTCAAAAAATATTTAAAGATAAAGCAACATTGAAAAAACATTTGTCTGTGCATATAAATGAAAAAACTCATGAATGTTTAATTTGTTTAAAAAAATTTGCCCATAAAGCTGCGTTAAATAGTCATTTATCCACAAATCATACATCCTAAATAGGGTGATCTAGTCTATTATGTTTCAGCTTTTAGTTTTTTTATTAAGCATTGTTCGTCTATAGCTGCGTAAAGATGATTACATACATCCGTTTTATATGCTCATTGGCCCAAACAATCATATTCTTTCCTGTATATCTTTATGTATAATAAATTAATTTCTAATTAATTTTTTATGGTTTCTTTTTTTAATATTTCTATATTATTCTACACATATTTAATAAAATGCATGTACTTTTTATAAGTCATTAGATATCTGACATTTATTACATATTGATAACAAATATTTTTTTATGATTATTATTATTAATATAATAATAATTATAGTAAACATTTTATTATATCATTTTAATATTTTTTCATGTTAAATGTTATTCATTTAATAACATAACGCCTGAATAATCTATGGTCAATCAGATCATTAATACATTCATTTTATTACATGTACTTTAATAAAAATGTAATGATATATTGACATTCTTTTATACCGCTTCGATAGTAATGTTTTGATGAACAAACCTACTATTTATATAGTATAAACAACAAGATGTTTACATTTTTTATTTTATTATGAAATATATATCTATAATGTTTTGTTTATGTGTATGAAATGAAAAATATTGAGCCAAAAATATTATACTATTAAATGGATGATATTTGTTTATTATGCATTTTGATTCAATATATATTCAGTTTATAATATTCAGAAAGATAATGTTCTTAATTTAAAAGATTTTATATGCATACATAAATCGAAGATTATTATTTTTAATAATAAAATGTTATTTTATTTCATGATTCCCATGTTTTATTCTGTTAAAAAAAATTCCCTAGAATGGTAATATAATTTTTTTTTATATTACTACAATGTAGCTTTCCTATTTTACTATAAGAAAGTCAATAACAATCCAACTCCAAATATATACATGTTTATACATTATATGCTTATAAATATTATATATTAATTATTATATATTAATTTTTCTCTTTATTATAATATGATTGTTTTTTGATTATAAACAAAAATAATTATTTCATAAAAAAATTATTTTTAAATCTATTTAAGAAAATTGTTTTCTGCAAAATTATAAATGGTGAAATAAATAAAATTTTTATAACTTGAAATCAATTAAAAAAACTTTTCAAATGGAATTGTCACAAAATCCTCAGATTTCTTTTGATGAAAGAACAAAAGGATTTGATTTATCAGCTGGCAAAACATGGATTTATCCAGAAAATTATCCTGTCAGAGATTATCAGTTCAATATTGTTCAAGCATGCTTATACAAAAACACATTAGTTTGTTTACCTACTGGTAAATGAAACTACATTTTTTAACATTTAAACAAAAAAAAAAAAATTACAAAAATTAGCAATAATAATTTATTTTTTATTTTTATTAGGATTAGGAAAAACATTTATTGCTGCAGTTGTAATGTATAATTTTTGGAGATGGTACCCATGGGGGAAAATTATATTTTTAGCACCTACCAAACCATTAGTTGCTCAACAAATTTTTGCATGTCACAATACTATGGGCATACCTAGTGCAGAAACTATTGAACTCACAGGTAAAAAAATAATTTATGAAATTTAGAATATTATTATATTTAAGTATTTATATTTACTTTATTGTAAAAATACTACATTATAGGAGCAATTAGTCTCAAGAAACGAGAAATAGCTTGGTCAAAAAAAAGAATAATATTTGCTACTCCTCAAGTTTTTCACAATGATTTAAACAAAAATATTGTACCTAGTGATTTAATAAAATGTGTAGTTATAGATGAAGCTCATAAAGCTTTGGGTAAACACTCTTACTGTGAGGTAATTATTCTATATAAAAATTATTTATATGTAAAAATAATGAAATTATTCATGTAGAAACAAAAAAAAAGTTTTAATATAATATTATTGAGTTGAATAATAATATATTTTATTTATTTTTAGTGTATTCGCATATTAAGTGGAAAAAATCAAAATTTCAGAGTATTAGCTCTTTCTGCTACACCAGGCAATAAAATTGATAATGTTCATGAGGTATATTTTACTATCAAATATATTCAAAAATAATGAATAATTTTTTAAATTGTAATTATAATTTATTGAAATAATTCTATTTAAATATATTTTATAGGTATTACAAAATTTATTAATTGCTCACGTGGAATTAAGAGATGAAACTTCTTTGGATATTGTACCTTATATTAATAAAAAAAAAATCGAAATAATTTTAGTACCTCTTAATAATAAATTGATAGAATACAAAGAGAAATATATTTTTATTATGGATCGTCATGTTAAAATTTTACTTCAGTATAATATTCTTCGTGGACAAACTGCAAATATTTCAAAAGGAAGAGTAAGTTATTGAATATTTTAGTAAAATATTTAATACTTTAATAGACTATAATATTAAGTTTAAATTTAATACTTTTGTTTTAAATTTCATTTATAATTATAATAAAAAAATGAAACAAAAAATAATTTAGGTCTTCCATTTATTAAAAGAATTCCAAAAGAAAACAAATAAAACAGGAAATTATGGACAAATTATAAAAACATTAAATATTTTAATGACAATGTATCATGCTTATGAACTTATGATTAGAGATGGACTTAGAGCATTTTATAAATTTTATCAAAGTATATATAATTGTTATTTTTTTTATTTTTATAAATTGTAAAATTTAGATTCAAATAATTTTTATATTATCTTAATAGGCCATTCTGATAAATTTTGGATGAATGAGGAACCACAATTACAAATATTGCTTGAAGATATTAAAATATATCTTGGCCCATTTCCTGATACAAAAATTTTATGTCAAGAAACTATAATGGAAGTTTGTAAAAATTTATATTTATATTATAAATTACATAAAATTTTTTATTGTTTCAAATCTAATGTAAAATTTTATTTCAGATACCCCAAAATCTCATATTTGGACATACGAAATTCGATAAATTGAAAGAATTGCTTATATATCATTTTAAAAATAATCAAAAAAAAGAAAATAATACAAGAGCTATAGTTTTTGTTGAGGTTTATAATTTTTAATCTTATTATAATGTAACCAAATTTTAATTTTATGCAATATAATTTTCTTTTTGTATAGTATCGAGATATTGTAAGCGAAATTTATATTCTATTACTACAATGCCAACCATTAATAAGACCCCAAATGTTTGTTGGTCAAGCCGGGCAAAAACAAAAGCAACAAATAAAAGCATTAGAGAATTTTAAAAATAATTATGTTAATGTTCTTATATCTACGAGTATAGGTATACAATATTAATAATAAAAAGTAGTAACATATTTAATGAAAATAAGCAAAATCTTTACATTTCTAATAGGAGAAGAAGGATTGGATGTTGGAGAAGTAGATTTAATAATATGTTTCGATGTATCTCAACATTCACCGACGCGACTAGTGCAAAGAATGGGAAGAACAGGACGAAAACGCGATGGACATATAATTATTCTTGTTACTGATGGAAAAGAACATGAAGTAATTTAAAATTTAATGTTCTATGATATTTTAAAGTGTTCTATATTATTTTGATTATATTTTAATTTTAATTTGATTATATTTATTTTTAATTTATATTATTTATATATTATATTATTTATATATATTTTAATTTATTTTATTATATTTATTTTTTATATTACAGACATTAAAATCTACAATAGCTAGAAGAGATTCTTTAAATTATAAAGTATTAAATACGAATAATATTTTCTCTTCACTTTATCAAAACAATCCACGTATGATTCCCGATATCTTAATTCCAGAATGTTTAAAAATGCATATTAGCATACAACCAAAGACTCCTGTTATAAAATATAAAAACAGAAAAAGAGAGGCAAATAATAAAGAAAAGAAACATCAAAATATCATAAAAAAAAATGGTAATATATGAACATATAATTTTTTATATATTTTTCTTTCTTTTTTTGCAACGAAATAAATTGTATATATGTTTTAGAATTCAATTTAGTATCGAAGAAAAACGAAACTAAATTTTTAATGATGAAATATTTGAAAGTTGAAGAAAACAAAGAATCTTCTAAATATAATTATGGAATTCTTAATTTTGAGGCAATTCAAAATATTAATAATCATAACACTACTAAATTATCAGATGTGAAAATTCTTTCTTGTGACAATCATGCAGTTGATTTCCTTACAATATGTGCTTTGAAGATTTCTGCAAGAGAAGAAAATATAAAAAACAAATGTAAAATTAATAAATCTTATGTACCTAAATCTTCTTTTGTTAAAAATTTTGTGGATTTTACAATACCTGATATTAAAGTTCTTAATTGTTTAATTACACTGAACGATATTATTCCTTATAATTATGACAAAAATAAATCAAATAATGATAATGAAAATGACAATTGGAATAATTCGCATAATGATGAATATATAGTTAAAAATAAAATAACATCAACAGAGATCGTTGATAAGTATCAACATCAAAAATCATCTTCCAAGTTTGAAGATTTACTTGATGATAGTAATAAATCAAATGAAACTGATTTATCAGATAATGAGGAAAAAAAACTAGAGAATAGCATTATGTATTCTACTTATTCTTCTTCAAGTGTTTCTAAGCAATGTATAAAAAGCAATCTGTTAGAATCAGTCAGAGCAGGAAATACAAATAACATATTACAAAGTTCAATATCTGATAAATTTGAAGATATATTGAATGAAATATCTGATGATTCTGAAATCAATTATACTGAAAATTTTGAACAAAATTTGATAAAAAATATTGACATTAAAAACGATGAACAAATAAAAAATTTTTCTAATATTACGGAATTAGATAATAATTTTAGGTTAAAAAATGATTTGCAAAAAGAAATTAAAATAAATAATTTTTCTTCAATTCCAATGGATCAATATAAACATAATTTTGAATATTTTGAAGATTTAAATGAAACTACTAATATGCCAAAATTTATTCAAAATGAATTTCAAAATGAATATACTTTTAATGAAAAACAAACAATTGATGAAATAGTTCGATTAAATTCAAATTCAATCCTTTCAAAGATCAATGAATCAGAAGATGATATATTTCAAGACAAAAATTTTTTATTGCAAATCGATAATCAATCAAATTTTGATGAACAAATAAATAATTCGATTGATTATAAAGATGAAAAGAATTTTAATAAGATAGAAAATTTAAATAATCAAAAAAATATAATTAACACAGAATTAGAAGTGGAAGAATATGATTGGGATGATGATTTTAAAGTTTCGACTGATACTGTACAAAATTATATAAAATTCGATACATTTGAAGAAAAACAAAATAACGAGAAATTAAAAATTGAAAATAATATGGAAAGATGTGATCTAAATAATAAAGAATGGATTTCAATCGAAAAGTCGAAAAATATTTCAAAACAAAACGCTTCTCATATGACTATAGCAAATAAATTAGCGAATGTAAGAAAAAGGAATTCGAATTATAATTATTTTAATAATGATTCTATGAATAAAGATAATTCTAAAAATGTTTATCTTTCAACTGTAAAAGAAAAAAAATATATTTCCTTCATTAATAAATCAAAAAATAAGAAGAAATATGTAAGTCAGAAAAAAGAAACAGAATATTCTCGAAAACATAATCATAATCGAAAATTGAGAAAAACAAAAAATGAATTTATATTGGAGGAAGCAGAAGTTTCTTCGAATAGTGAGACGACAAATGAAAGTTGTGAAACCGATGATGATCTCAAAGATTTTATTAGTTATACGCAAAATATACAAGATACATCTGATATATATGTTCATTATTTACAGAGTACTAAAAGTCCAGTTAATAGACAAAATTTTCTTTTGAAACAACAATGCACACTGAATTCTAATATAGATATATATTCACAACCTATAACTCAAAACGAATCCTACATAAATGTAAGTGAAATGATTGTACTAATAACAAACGCTTGAATTTTAATATTTTTGTTTTTAATGAATTTCAGGATTCGTTTTGCGTAACGGGAGACGAAACTGATAAGGAAATTACTCGAGACAAAGAATTGTCCGAACTAGAAAAAGCGGAAAAAAAACTTAAAAGGCAAAAACGAAAACGCATTAGAGATAAAGAATTAAGTCGTTATAGGAGAATTAATAAGAGAAGAAATATAATAAATTATTTTAGCACCAGTGAAGATGAGACTGAAAATTTGCGCAAACAAATAAAGGACGAATCGTTATTAAAGCGATCATGAAAAAAATAAATCAAGTTAATTTTAAAAATCTATCATTTATATAATTTATAATAATAATAAATTGAGCATTTTCTTTTTTTTTATTTTTCAATTCAATATAGTATCTAAAATGTATTGAGTTTCTATATATTTATATTTGGATTAAATTGATTCGATTTTTTTTGTTTTTTATTTATGATTTTTCTAATCAAATAAATATTCGTATTACATTAATTATTATTGCAATTTTTTGCAGTAAAAGAAATAAAGATAATAACTTAAAATATAAATAATTTCATGATTGTAGATAAACATTTTTAAGAAAAAATTTTCATCTAATGTTGATTGAATCTTGTTAATTAAAAATAGCGAAAAAAAGTCTTCCTGATAAATAAAAATTTTTTTCTGTGCAATTTGTTTTTGTTCCAGATTTCATCAGATCTTTAAAATATATAAAGCCAAGATTGCTTTAATAATAAATATTTTGATCAATTATTTGAGTTGAAAATATCAAAAAAAAAAAAACAATTATGTCTATTTTAAACGATATATTATTATTAAGATAGTTTGATATTTATAAATAAAAGAAAAGGATTAAAAACTATATATTATATTTTAATTTATTTTTTGATTTATTTGATAATTTATTTCATAATTAATTAATTGATTCATTAATTATGATATAAATTATCAAATTATTATATATAATTATATCAAAAAATGAATGAAATGAATTATCAGTGAATAGATCTATTAGTGTGAAAAGTTAAATAATTCATATTTATAATATCTCAAATTAATGATTAACAACAGCTTTTTATTCACTGTTATTGCAAAAAATCAAGTAATGAAATAATAATGAATATTTTTATTTAATTTATCTAAATTATAATAATAAAATTATAATAATCGTTATTTAAACAGGATATAAAAGTTATCTTTATCAAAATACTATCATCGTGAAGCATAAATTATTTTTCAATTACTAAAATTGCAACGAATTTGCTACTATTTTCTAATGAAATTTTAATGTACACAGCTCAAATTAGAGCTCATTTTATAATTTTTTTCTTGTAATTCTCTTAAGTAATATTTTTATAATCATATCAATTTGTGTGTTTGTATCAATTTATATGATTAATTTCTTTAATTTTGATCTTGTGTATGAAGAGTCAGATAAGAAGCTATTTTTATGTTGTTATTTTGATCAAAAAGAATTAATTTTTTACTTAAATTTTCTTTTGCAAAAAACAAAATATATAGTAAAATTAATTCGAATTTATATAACTATGAACATGATTATTTTTAATTTCGAAAATTTTTGATAAATATGCAGCAATACAGAATAGAAAATATAAAAACACAGGAAAAAAATCAAAAAACCAATTAGAAATTCAATCATATCAATAATCCATATTTTTATGATTTTGTAAAATCATAATCATAAGTCTTATAAATTTATTTTATTCAAATTATTAATTAAAAAAAAATAAATAAATTATTTAAAAATTGAAATGAAATAAAAATAAATAAAATAAAATAATAAATAAATAACTATTTTTATTGTATTTTGTTTCAATTGATTTCTATTAAATTGATATTAACATTGTTATAATTCATAATCCGATCTTATTATTATCCAAATTTATTCAAATCGCAAGCTTTTTTTTCTGAATAATTCGAATTTTAATTAATAATGTTTCAATTAATAAAAAAAAAAGAAAAAAAAAAGAAAGAGAAAAATATATGATCATTTTATATATAATTTTGTAAAACTTCTGATTAAATAGTAGAGTAATTATATATATACAGATAAATGATTAAATATGTTGACTGACTGATTTTTTATTAAGTGATTTTACTTATCTATTGAATACTGGATGAAATCAACACGTAATAGCTCATAATAGAGCTATTCATGTATTCTCAATTTACTGTTTTTTTCTATATATCCATTTAAATTTTATATATACATACACATACATATATAAATAATGAAATACATCGTTGAAATATTAGGTAAGAAAAATTTATTTAATAATAAAAATATTAATTATATAATTTTTTAAAAAAAAAATGCCAAAGTGAACTTATCGCTTCACGAATTTTTATGAATTTAATGTTACAAAATATACATGATAAAAAAAATATTTTGATCAATTTTTTCTTGTACATATAATAAGCAAACGATTTTAATTTTCAAAATATTTGTTAAAAACTTTTGATACTATCATATTAAATTCTTGTATGTGTCTGAGATAATACATGTGTCAATATAACTATTATTTATTAACTGTTTATATAAACACATATAAAGATAGCTAATCAATCTGACTATAGCAGATAAATTATCCAATACATCATATTTAACATCTCGAATAGCGAATTTATAAAAATAAAATATAAAATAATTATTGAATAACTAAAAATATAATGATTGAAATTATATAATATTAATTTGATTAATATTTATCATTATAACTTTGTATTTAATTGTTATTCTATTTTTGATCGTTTAAGGATTATATATAAAATTGCATTTTTTATATTTTATTTTCATAAGTTCGCTATTTGAATAAATATATAATGTGATACTATTAGTTTACGATATTGATTATTGTCACTTTGCCATATGTTTATATGAACTATTGATAAATAATGATCAATGTAATAATATTAACATTTTTAACAAAAAAAAAATGAAAAAAATTATTTTTTTAAGTTTCTTGATTGATTTTTTATTTTAATGATAAAATAAAGCTTTAAAAAAAATTGAAATGAAATAGCTAAAATGAAAATATAGCTAAATTGAAAAAATCGCTAAATTATGTAAATTAATTATTAAAAGCAATTTTGTAAATATTTAATAATATTAATATTATTATAAATATTAAATTTTTTTGTACAAAAAATATAGAACAACAAAAAGATGAACTTTTCATTCTGATATTTTTTACGATTATTGATTCAAGATAAAATTTTCTTTTTCTTGATTCGATCATGAATAAATGATCATATTTGTAAGTCATGATTATTATTATTTATGATTATATTATTTAATTTTAGGTTATTTAGTAGTTACATATATAATAATTCTCACATTAAAACAATGTAAATCGGAGATAATGAAATCGCAATCTATTTTCGATATAAATATGACTACGAATATTAATCGTGAAATTATTAACCATAATAAAAATAACAATGATTTTGTACCTTATCAAGGAGAACGTTTCGATATTTTTGATTGGACATTTTTCAAAGTAATGTATATGAAGTTTTAATTGTATCAATTTTATAATATAAATACTATATATATATTTTTATTCTGATATTCTATTTGCATTAGAGTATAAGCAAGAAATATTCTAAAAACGTTATTCTTTCGCCTATATCTTTAAAAATTGCATTAGTATTATTATATGAAGGAGCTCAAGGTGAAACTGCATATGAACTTGCTGATATATTGCAATTGCCCGTTACCCGAAATGCTACACGAAAAAAGTTTTCTAATATTTTACAATCACTTCAGGTAAATTTCTTACAATTTTGATTGTGTAAAAATCAAAGCTAAGAAATATGAAAAAATAAATACAAAAATAAATGCTTTTTCTATCAAATCTTATATTCTTTTATTTTCTCAGACTAATTTTACAGCATATACTTTAAATATTGGTACGCGAATTTATATTGATTCGAATATTTTGGTTAGACAACAATATGAAGCCAATGTAAAAATCTTTTATAACACCGATGTGATCATTGCGAATTTATCTAATGCACAGCCATTAGTTAAGATGATTAATAATTGGGTCAGTAATGTTACTAATGCTAATATTGATCGAATAATAGAAGATGGTAAGAATTAAATTATAATAATATAACTATAATGACAAAAGTATTTATATAACAGATAATATTTAAAATATTTTTAAAATGGAATAATTTTTTTAAAATTGAATCAAACGATTTAAATTTCTTTGAAATATTAGAAGAATTAATTTACTAATCTTTAGATAATATATAAAAAAAGATAATATATAAAATATTTTCGCAGATAATATATAAAAAAAATGTTATATTTATAATAAATTAAAATTTAAAAAAAAAATAAAAATCGATTTTTTTATTTGAACTTATAATAAAGATTTAAAACATGTCTAAATTTCAACAAGTTATATATATGTACAAAATTCATTAAAATTTCATCAAAATCGATTAATATTGCAATGAAAAATAATCAAAAATATTCAAATTTGCAATTTTTTACGATTTTTGCATAATATTTCTATAATATATACAATAATAAATACAATTATATATAATTCTATAATATATTCAATACTTGTAACTCTTTTATATGTCAATTGATTTCCGTAAAAGTTTATGTATATATATAACTTAAATTTATAAAAGGCATGTTTTAAATTTCATTGTAAGCTCAAATAAAAAATTAAAATATATATTTTTCTTTTTTCTCATGATTTTTCCAAGTAATTATATAATTATTTTTAAAAATATATATTATTTAGTAAACTAATTCTTCTAACATCTCAAAAAAATTCAAATCGTTTGATCTAATTTTAAGAAAGTTAAGTAATTATTTTAAAAAGCAGTTTTTTTTATCGATTTTAATGATTTTTAAATATGTTATAAAAATCAATATTTTGAACTTTCTATGTTTATAAATCTTCTATGAATTTTTTTTCTATATATATAACTATCATTAAATTTCCAAGATATTTATAAAAAAATATTAATAATTAATTAAATATAAACTATTCGCTATTACATAAAATTTTTTTATACATATATGTTTATATATACATACGTATATATAACTCCATAAATCTACAACTATCTATTGTTTATCTATTTTTTTTATAAACACTGACATTCAAAATGTATAGTATCAATACATCAGTCAAAAAATTATATCATTATAGTAAGCTTAAAATGTTTTAAATCCGAATTTGGATATTTTTTCAGATCACGGAGTACTAAATTTGGATTTAAGATATTTTTAATTTATTTCACTATAATCTATGAGGAAGTACTTTTAAATTTTTAACTTTTCGTTGTAGATCTTATTTGCTATCATTATATAATTATAAAATAATTTATTTTTATATTATATAATTATATTTTATTATATAATTATATAATTATATAATATTTCATTATATATTTATAATATCATTATACTATCATTATATAATTATAAAATAATTAAAATAAATCGCATGCAGGCATGAACATATAGAAATTCTATGTAACAATCTTTTTTCATATATTTCGAAAACTAAAGCCAATGATAGCATAAGAAAAAATTATTCAAAATCTTGTTTTTTATAACATATCCAAAAATCATTGAAGTCGACGAAAAAATTTTTTCTAGATAATTATTCAAACATTATTTCGTTTTATAAAATGCTCGAATACTGCATTATTTTATGTAAATTATATATATAATCAAATAAATTTCTTCTTTTTTTCAGATAATAGTGTGAAAAATTCTTTGATGTTGATTGTGAATACTCTTTTCTTCAAAGGATTATGGCGTGGAAAATATTTTTCTCCAGAAAATACAAAAAATGGCAAATTTCATTTAATTGATAATCGAACTGTAGATATACCTATTATGCATGCTTACGGACGATTTTATTATATCGAATCTTCTGACTTGGACGCCAAAATTTTAAGAATTCCATATGATGTATGTAATCTATTATCCTCTTTTTTCTTTTTTTTTTATTTTATCTTATTTTAGGGACAATTTGCTATATATTTGTTATTACCACGCATATTAAACGGAATTGATCAACTCATCAATAAAATTAATCCTTTTGTATTAACACGATACATATGGCTAATACAAGATTTACCTGTTGACGTCTTAATTCCTAAATTCAAGTTTGATTTTTCTAGTCACTTAGAACCCATTCTACGTGAGGTACTTATCGTTCATTTTCTTATCACTTTATTTCTATTAATTTACGTTTAGTTTCTTATCTTTTATATTTTATTTTTTATTAGCTTGGTATTCGCGATATTTTTGATGATACTGCAACGTTAACTGGTATAGCTCAAACAAAACGAACTTCAAAACGTCTTAAGGTTTCAAATATTTTACAAAAAGCTGGAATCGAAATAAATGAGAATGGAACTATAGCTTATGTAGCTACCGGTAAATTTTTTCTTTTTATTATCCTATTTATGTTCAGAATTGTTTTTCAGGATTATATAAAAAGATATACCTTACTGATTTCGATGATTTTTAAATATGTTATAGAGAAATTTTAAACAATATTTATCTTGCATATAACTATGCATATAACTTTTTCATAGTTTTCGAGATATTTGGAAAAAAATATTACTACTATTCCATAAAATTTCATTTATACATATGCGTCCATGATAGTATATGCGAAATATGCGATTGCTTCTTTTTTGCTATTAATATAAACAATAATTTTTTTTGCAAATATCAAAACTATAACATAGTTATACAATAAAAAAAAATTATTGAAAAAAATATTTGCAAAAAAGATTGTTATTACATAGAATTCCTCTTATATTAATATCTATTGCTGCATAAGTATGTGATTGTCATTTATTCTCTATTAAAATAAATACATGATGAATTAAAATATATAATGAATGAACTAAAAATCTAATGGATTCTAATTTCTCTCTGGATTAATGAAGTTAAAAATATCTCAAATCCAATGTCGAACAGAATATTAGATCCTTTGGATTCGCGAAATATAAAAATAAAATATAAAATAATCCTTAGGTGACCGAAATTAATGAATTATAATGAATTTCAGTATCATTTTTAATATCGTTTTAATTTTGGTTGTCTAAAGGAGTTATTTTATATTTTGTTTTTGTATTTCATGGATCCAAAAGAATATCTAAATTTCACATTAGATTTAAGACATTTTAAATATATTATAAAGAAGAAATCTTTTTGATCAGTTTTTTAATCATTATATATTTTGAATTGTTGTTATACAACAATATATAAAACAATATTATTTATAGAAATAATAAATGACAGATTTACACATACATAGATATATATAAAAAACATTCTATATAATAATACTATATAATACATATACTATATATACATATACTGTATAATACATTCTATATAATAATACTATATAATAATATTTTTTTTGCAAATATTTTGAAAACTAACTCCGAGTGGTAGTAAAATGCGAAAGAAAAAATTATTCAAAATTTGATGATGTTGATTTGTATAATATATCATCGAAATCAGAGAAGTAGTAGATATAATCAAATCATTAAAAAGTATGTATCACTTTCTATATAATTATTTTTTTTATTTATTTATAAATATACGGAACATATATAATCTATTTTTCCATTTATTTCTAGAAATTGAAATTGGAAATAAAAACAAGGATGAAATATTTCATGCTAATCATCCGTTTTTATTTTATATTGAAGACGAGTCCATTGGAACAATTATTTATATCGGCAAAATTATGAATCCTCTGGACACAATGGATAATATAAAAATAAAATAAAAATAAATTACTAGCAAGAATCAACATTTACTATCTAAATTTAGAATTAAGAATATCAAAAACAAAGTTAATCTCTTTTACTTATAATAATGAGATATAAAAATAATTTTCAACCAAAATGCTAATTTAATATAATATAAATATCAAGTATCGTGATTTGATTATTATTATTATTATACGCAATAATTTTTTCCATTTTTATCAAGATTTATTATCAAGTATTATTATTTAAAGTATATTTTTAAAATATTACATAAATAGTCTTGTACTAAAAGTACTTAATAAAATATATCTTTCTTTTTTTTTTTACATTTAACACATTATTATTATGCATTTAATTGGTATTTAATTGCTGTATGCCACATTGAAATTTCTTTTTTTAGATAATTTAATAAAAATTATACTTGACTTTTTCTTATATTATTATATTTTAAATCTCATAATATTATTATATTTTTTTTTTATAATTTATGCCAATTTATGTCAATGGCAATGATCTTTTATTTTCCTATTTTCATAATAAACAAAATAAGAGTTATAATAATATTCATATAAAATATTAATATTAATTTAATTAATATTAATGTTTTTAGATTTGATTTTTTAAACAAACTTCAAACTTAAATATCAAAAATTTTCAATATATATTTTTCAAATATTAGATAAGGTAAAAATGCTAATTAACATTGAAATAAACTAAAACAAATTATTGATGTATATTTTTTATGATATATATATATATATATATATATATATATGCTTTTAATATTTTTAAAGATATGACAATTATTATATTATTATATTAATATATAAATTATATATTTATTATACATGATTCTTTTTTCCATAATGTAAAATGTAAAAATTTTCGATTTTATATTATTTGCATTTTTCATTATCACTGTCAAAATTGTTTTAATGCTCATATGTGATGATTTAAATTTAAATAAATTAGATTTTTATTTTTATATTCTTTGCTCAAAGTTATAAGCTAGAAAGAATTGCTTAGAGCAATTTTAATAATATGATATTGAAAGAATACAGTATAAAAAAACATTACACATAATAAATAATAACTTTGATTATACAAGATTTTTAATCAAAATAATAGAAATAATAGAATAATAGAAATGATTCATAATTAAAGATAAATAAAAATTAAATAATAAATTAAGAAGAATACATATATATAGAATCTCAAAATATAACCCATTAAATCAATGAATTAATTCAATAGATAATATGCAATATGATCTCTTTTGTTATATTGTTAAATACATAATCTTACACTTAATACACATCTGTTTTTTAATTTTAGTCATTTATTTTAAGAAACATTGATTAAAATGATTCAATGAAACAAATATGAAATGATAATTTTTATATTCTAATATTAAAATATATATTTTATGAAATACTAATCTATTTATTGATATATGTATATTTTCCACTTAAGAATACATTTTAAAAATTTTATTTTTGATAAGATTAAGAACTTACAGCCACAAATTGAAATAAATACAGCTGTTATATATATATATTATTAGCTTTCTTTTCAATAATAAAATATTAATAGATACAAATTTCAGAAAAAGATCTATATTACTTTATATTAAATATTATCTAAAAATATAATTATTATTTTAATTTTTGTAATTTTAATAATTTTTATAAATTTAAAAAAATTTTAATTTAAAAAAAATTTTTATAAATTTTAAAAAAAAAATCTTAAAAATAAAATCTTTTTTTCTTTCTTATAATTGAAAATTTTATTATATTTAAAATGTATCAACAACATAAATTATATTTTTTCTATTAAACAAATAAAATTTAAAATATTTGAATTAAATAATATTATAATATTATTTGAAAACATATTTATGTCATATTGAATAAATTGTTTATTTGTACAATTATAGAAATATATCATACCTATATAATATATCTAATATAATACAATTAATATTTTTCATTACTTGTTTTCATATTGATCCTTAATATCTTTCCAAAGTTTCTGAAACAAAAAATATAAATGGATATTTTTAAAAAATTACTATTTTTTATTATTATATAAAATCTAACAACATTATTATATACAATATTATTATATATAAAATTTAATATTATTAATATACAAAATTATTATATAATACTTTCTATTAAGATTAATAAAACTATATATAATAACATTATAAAAAATAAATATTAAATCATATTTAAATTGTATCATTTTAATATCATAATGCTAAACAATATATTATTAAATTTTTAAAAACAAAATATATTTTAAATATGAAATTATACGCATATGCAATATAAAAAATGACAAATCAAATAATTATTCTTTTATTATTTCAATTTATTATATAAAGAATTAATGTATGTTTTTAAATATGTGTTTATAACGTTAATATTAAACAATATTTTTTATATAAATACATACCCCTTTATTAATTTGTTCGAACATTTCATTCGAAATTAGATCAAATGCTCGTTCAAAGAAAAAACTGCTAGCTATAATAGCCATGGTAAATGTAGAGGATCTTTTAAAAATGAAATTGTATAGAATATTGGCCATTCTTTTAATTCTAATTATAACCTTTCAGGCAAAAATATTAATTTCACAATATATATTTCTTACTGCAATAAATCGTAATATGATCTTTAAATATACTTACAATACTATTCAACGACTGAAGCGACATAAACGAACATCAAGTTACATCACAACTAGATATAATATAGATCTATCACTCGATAAAAATTTATATCGTATATGTTGTTTAAAAATATTTTGTGTCAGTTTTAATGTTACTGATTTAAAATATGATTATATATATATACAAATAATAATCTATATTTATCTATATTTGTTTTGTAAATAATAATCAAAATTAAAATAAACTATAAATATAATATATATATATAAATATATATATATAATAATAATTATATGAAAGTATATAGTAAAATATAAATTTTTATTTTTTATAATTGTAAACATAACGTATAGACTATTATTTATTGACATTCGTTATATGTAATGTTAGGTTTGTTTTGATTTGTAATCACAAACAAGTTTGCTGTTTATATTTTATTTGGATTATAATATTATTTTGTATTAAATCAATGATATTAGAAACAATTAAAATGATAAGGGGCCTTCTAAGGCCCCAAACTGCGTAACATATCTATTTTATATCTTTTCTGTGGTGTAAAAAGCAAAGAAAACGATAAGCCACGTCAATGTCTATTCAATTTCAGTTGATAAGCAATTGAATTCTTTTACGAATTAGTGACGGTGATCAATGTATGTTTCTTGACAGACTGTCATTGTTCTGTCAGATGTTCCGGGAGTTTTCAGTAAATTTTTTGTACAATGAAATATTTTGAAAAATTTTTCGTATAAATTTGTTTTGTCGAGTAACATGGAGCACAAAGAAGACGAAATATCTTTGGATTCTAGTGTTCCAGAAACGTTTACGGAAATGTCAATTCCTATTGAAAACCATAACCTAAAACTTAGACGAAGAAATGTAATCGAAACCATAAATTTCGTATCAAAGGAAGAGGAAATTTCCGATTCCAAAAATAATATACCTCTCGTAAGAATATCAGATTCTACAAAAGCATGGTATGATGACATTATACCACGAATACCTGACATCGCAAACTTTAGTTCGTCAGGTAAACAAAACGGAGTGTTGAATCATGAAGATGATAACAGTTCATTAGAATATAATTTTGATGATACAGACATATTGACTAATACAGAACGGATCAAGATAAGTGTTATTCGAGGAAGCATCGTTAATCCAAATTTAACATTAGGAGAACTCAAACTACTCGGTTGCAGCAGTGAGGGTTTAGTTCATGGTATTTCATTATGATCATGTATTATTATAAAGAAGGAATATTTATATGGATAATATAGTGTAATTTGTTTTTATACCTTCATTAAATGAAAATTTGTACAATTTTACTCAAAGTAATAAAACATAAAATTATAGGTTTCTTATTGAAAATGATTTTATACTTCATAATTAAATCTTGAAATCATAAAGATTATTTGTAGATGAGATACGAAGGATTCTATGGCCAAAACTATTACGACTCTCAGAAGAAAATAATTTTTCTATAACTGGATTAGAAACTATACATAATCACATACCAAATGAAGTCTACCAACAAATATTGAAGGATGTTGCACGTAGTGGAAGTCATATTTCACAAAATGCTACACAACATGAAATAGATGATTTCCATGAACAGTTGACTCAAATAATGTGTTGGGTTCTTCATAAACATTCTATGCTAAAGTTAGTATTATATACATTTAATATATTATACAATATTTTTATTTTATTATAATTTTTGAAACATTTGCTATAAACACATATATATTGATAATACAAAATAAAATAATACGTACTTAGTTATTACCAGGGTTATAATGATATAGCAGCAACTGTTCTCCTTGTCATGGGCTTACAAAAAGGTTTGCATGTACTTGAGAGCATTTCTTTAGAATTTCTTGAAAGATTTATGGAGAAGACAATGGAGAAAGTAAATCAAGAATTATTTTATATATTTGCACTTTTAGAAAGAGTACATCCCACTTTATTAGAACATTTGGAAAAGTTTGTATAATAAATATATATTTTATATAACTATTTGTAGATAAATCATCTATTAAATCTATTTTTTGATTATAGTGTAGAATTATTTCCACATTTTGCATTGGCTGAATATACAACATGGTATGCGCACAAATATGCGGAAAATAGAAAGTTGCTACATAGATTATTTGATTATTTTCTTGGCAGTCCACCATTAATGCCTCTTTATCTAAGTACTGTGATTGTAGCACATAGAGCGACAGAAATTTTTAATACTACACCAGATATGGGTCATACACATAAAGTTTTATGTACTGTAAGTAATGTTTAACATTGATAATATGAATGAAATAAAATTGTAGCTATATTATTCATTTAATATTAAAATACTTTT